TAAGTAAAAACTGCTATTCTTTTGTGCACAAAGTTATTTTCAAATTGGGGGCCCACAAACTGGTGTTTGGTTGTAGCCCTGCATTTTGCACTCATACTTGGAAATCTGCCAATTGCCTAAGATGTTGAGGTTTGCAGAGTTGCTCGGTACAATGTAAGTGGTTATATAATCCATAGATGATCGAAAGCGTGTTTTACATGGTATTATTCATAGGGTAAAAATAACCTGATAAAGAGGACATCTCCTAAGCTGATTTTCTAGGAGAATGTCTCTTTATCACAGTTCAAGAAAAAAGTAGGGTGAACCCTTGGACTACTACCTGGATTTCTGCATAAAATTGGTCATTAAATGCTGTATCTGATCTTCATTGCTAAGTCACAACAATAGACAAAACACAGTCTGCTTAAGCTAAAACCACACAAACAGATTATATGGTTTTTTCATTGAACACACCATGCTAAACATTCACAGTGCAGGCGTGGAAAAAGTATATGAAACCCTTGATTAATAACTGGTTGACCCTCCTTTGGCCAGATAACCTCAACAAACGTTTCCTATAGTTGCCAGTATCAGAACCTGCAACAACGGGTCAGGAGGAATTTTGCGACCATTCCTCTTGTACAAAAACTGTTTCAGTTCAGCAAGCTATTCTTGCGGAGTCTTGGGTGTAAATCGGCTCTTCTTTGAGGTCGGCTGTCACAGCACTCAATTTGGGTTACGGTCAGCGACTCTGACTGGGGGCCACTCCAGAAGGCGTATTTTCTTCTGTTGAAGCCATTCTGTTGTTGATTTACTTCTGTGCTTTGGGTCGTTGTCCTGTTGCATCACCCATCTTCTGTTGAGCTTCAATTGGTGGACAGATGGCCTTAAGTTCTCCAGCAAAATGTCTTGATAAACTTGAGAATTAATTTTTCCGTCGATGATGGCAATCTGTCCAGGCCCTGAGGCAGCAAAGCAGCCCCAAACCATGATGCTCCCTCCACCATACTTCACAGTTGGGATGAGGTTTTGAGGTTGGTGTGCTGTGCCTTTTTTTCT